AATTGCTAGTGGAATAAGGTAATTAAATAAATAAAAAATTATTAAATACATTGATAGTAAAATTTTGTTATATCTCTTTTTTATTTTTTTAATTTAATAAGAGAAGATTCAAACTTTATTTAAAAAAAAAAAGAGATCATACATCGATTAATAAATTAAATGTTTGGGCACTAAAAATCTCACTAATTTTATTAAGTTTTCAAAAATTTGACCAAATGAAAAACCATCCTATTAATTGCAAACATAAAAAACAATCCTTTGGATAGTTATATTGAACATTTAAGTATTTCCATCTTGCATGGTATATATTTCTAGTGTCAAGGTTGAAGTAATTAAGGGTCCGTTTGTTTCATAAAAAATAATTTTTAAAAAATAATTTTTGAAAAATGTTTATATTTTTTGAATTGAAAGAGATTTTTTGTTATTTGGATGAGTTAATGAAACATATTTTTCATTGTTTAGTTATTTTCTGAAAAATCTATTTTTTAAAATAATATTAATATAACTATTAAAATATTAAAAATTATTTATTAGTAATATTAAAAAATAATTATATTTTAATAATAATTTTAATATTAAAATATTATGTTAATATAATAAATACTTAAAATAAAACTATTTATTATTCGTTATATTATTTATTAATATATTATCTATTAATTAATATTTTATTAATATATTATATTAATAATATATTTTTTACTCATATATTATATAATATTTATTAATTAAATTAATAATATTTATTATTATATTATTTATTAATATAATTTTATTTATTAATATTTTTTTTTATTTCTTAATATTATTTATTAATATATTATATTAATAGTATATTATTTATTCATATAATATTATTTATTAATACATTGTAATATAATATTATTTATTTATTTATTAATATAATATTTTTTATAAGTAAAATTATGCCTAAAAGTATTAATAAATATACATACTCACATATAATTCTTTTCCAAAAAATGTTTTCTCTCTTTCAAATTCATAAGATAATTTTTAGAAAAGTGACTTCATTTTCTATTGGCTAGTAAGTCATTTTTCGTTGACCAATCAATTTTCTGTCAAACAAACACTTGAAAATATGAAAATTATTTTTTGAAAGTCAATTTTCATAAAACAAACGGAAACTAATATTAGACAATTGTGCAAATAAAATATTCTAGGATGAAAACAAAAACCAAACAAGAAAAAAACAAAAACAAAGACAAAAACCTAGTAAATTTTGTGATTTTTTTTTTATAGGATAGGACCACCCTGTTGCTTTTACATGGAAATTATGGGGATATATACATGGAAATCATCATATAATAACTCCCAACTTATGCTCCAAAAGGAAAAAAAGAAAAAAAAGAAAGAGGAAAATTTAACATTGTGAAGAAAAAAACAAAGCTAGATATCTTCCCAATCGAAGTAATAGAATCTTTCATGGACCTCGGTTGATAATCTGTCTGAATGTAAGTATGTTTGATTTGCAGCTCCAGCAGTACCCATTCACCTCTTTGCCTGTCTCTTTACCATGCCTATTCAATGTAAAATTATGTTCTTATAACATAAATAGTAAGCATTTTTTGGACCATCCTATTGATCAATGTACTATCTTGAAAGATCAATTATTCGAATATTAGATAAGAGAATGAACCATCTTCATGGTAGACGAGAAATTATTCTATGATAGTAAAATTTTTAAACTTCACAACTGAATTTAGAAGACTATTACATTTGCATTAGGCTATAATTACAAAAATTAAATATTTACATAACTATTAAATCAATATGTTGGCAATTTCCTATAAACAATTTGTTAAAAAATTTCACCGTTAATGTACAAAATAATAGTCATTTCTCATATTTATCAAAATTTATCAAAATGAAAGCATCAAAACTTCGATATGATACTATGAAAAATGTAATTAAACACTATAAATGATTAATTCACCAATTCTAAACCTAAAGTAAGAAAGCAATAGTGCCTTAGCCATAATCGACCAAGTGCTAGACAGAAGACATTATATGCAGCTATTTCTCCATATTATAAACTGTTAATTATAGGAAGATGATAAAATTGTACAAGATAGAGATTGGGGAGCCCATTTTGTTAAATGAGGTTGAAGGTATGTACTCCTAGGTTTGGACATATCAGTGCTAACAGGTGTTGATCGCATTCACTCTTAAGTTGCCAAAATCACATTAAATGATTGTCTAGCCACCAGCATTCTTGCGTATCATGTTATAATTCAATAGCCTTCTCTCTATCACTCTTTCCCTATTAATCTTGAATCACATGGTAGATTTGTGCAACTATTATCACCAACTATGATTCTAGGACTGGTAATTGAAGGATACAGATCATATGTTTCCAACACAAATACGTTTTGTTTACTAAGTTTTTACTTTTTACTTTTATTTCAAGGGTTAAAAAGTCATATCCTCGTCGATCAAATATGCGTCGTACATGGAAAATCAAGAAACATGAAGTGTTGGAGCAACACGGAACAATGTGGCAAGTGATAAAATTTATACAGTTTTATTTATGTTCTGCACCCATGACAATATCTAACAGCACAGATTACAGATTACAGATTTTAGATAATAAATATGGTTTAATTATACTGTATGATCCTATCTTAGTGCATATTAACCTTATCTATGAAAGAAACCAAGTGGTTTGAAGTTTTCAAGTAGTTTATCGTGTTAAGATGAGTATAGCCTCTTGAAATTCATTGTCCTTATGTAGAGTCAACATGCCAATTGACTTTCATGGTAAAATTGGGGTAGGGCTTGGATGGAGGTGGTAAACCCCCTCCCAAAGGTTTTAAGAGGACAAAGCCCCATTAAAAAAATTTTATATGTAAAAATATTATTGGTAGGAGTATTTTGGGATTTTCACATATATAATTTGATTCCTTATACTTTATTTAAAGGGCTATCAAGCATTTGTAATCTTTCAATCATTACAATGAAAATCTTCAACGAGTACAAATGGATATTACTTTTACATTGAAAGTAAATCATTATAAATCTTGTATGTTCTTTAAATTTTTTTCTTATTTGTTTATTATCATCTTTTTAGAGTAAAATTAAAGATTTAATCCGAACACATCGAACCACCACACAATGAGACAAGTGTTTTTAGCAACTAATGACTATTACATCTCAGCCAGGAACCTTACATACGTTCCTCATTGAAATCACAATAGGATATCAACATTTATGTGAGTGATGCTATCTTGTTTGAAAATAAATAATATTATATCGACTTTCCTCTCTTAATCTAATTAAGAGACGGGTTAAAAGTTACATAGTCATGAATTCAATCCTGTCATCTTTCTTTCCCTTGTAAGGATATTAATTTTTTTGTAATAAAAGAAATTATATCTACATATATTTTTTTTTATAAAAAAAAATTTATAAGATGAAAGTAGAAGGGATGGTAGGTGTTAAATCTCCATATTCAATACTTATTTTTTAAGTAATCGTACAATTAGACTCTTGAACATTGGCATTTCCTCTCTGTGTAGTGTTAGGTTGTAACGTGTTACGTTAAAATCCAAGAGTGGAATCCAATGGGTAGTACTATTGGTAAATTAAAGCTGAGAGCTGAAGAGAATGGTTGAAAAAGGGCAGCTTTCCAGTACATAAATCCACTTTCTTCTTATAAGTCGACGGTGTTGTTGCCGCTCTCTGACAGACTCCACATGCTCATGGGGGAGAGGTCCAGACGGCTGACCCACCACATTATTTTGTCCACATGGAAGTGGGAGAAAATTACCAAACCAGATCTGAGACCCACCTGTTCACATAATCACACCTCCGACCACAACTCCAGCTCCAACCTCTTTCTTTTTCCAATTATTTATTGCCCGCCATTTTTTTTGTTAAAGTCTTTCGTAGAAAGATCTGACCCACGTATTCCAAATCTCTCTTTCTTACGCATATATTAAATATATAAAAAAAAGTTGACAGTACAATTAAAAATTTAATTTAATTAATTTATAGAAGATTTAATAATTTAATAATTTATGTTATAAAAATATTAAAAATTTATGTATTTATATTTTATTTTACATAAAAATTATATTTAAATTTGTATTGAGATAAAAACATAAAATATATATTTTAAATTTATTTTTAATTTTTATTAAAATTTTAAATTATATTTTTAATATTTTTATTTATATTATTTTTATCTCATATTATTATATTATATTTAAAATTATCAAATAAAAATATTTAACAAATTTGATATTTAAATTTAAATATTTAATTTTTTTTTTAATTTTCAAACTACAACTCCGATTTTCTTTATAAAAAATTGGCAGTACTACTTTTCATAAGTAGATTTTCACATTGCCTTGCCTAAATATGATAAGCCAACATCCCCTGTTAAATACTCAAAGACTCTAGCTGCCTTATTCCTAGAGAGAGCCAAAAGAAAGCATTCTTTTCTTCGGTGAGGAAACCCAAAAAACATCTCTTCTTGGGGTCTGCAGAACTTCCCCTGCAGTCTTTCTTCATAGATTAGATTAGTCCTTTGAAGGTGGGGGCTATTAGGGCGGTGACTGTTATTTGTTTTTTTTTTTTCTTTTTTGAGGTCCCCTCTCGCGGAAGATATTGGCTACCTTGTTCTGTGAAGCCCAAGAAAACGTTTTATCTCATTGCAAAAGGGAAGAACAGAAAATGTGGGGTTCTATCAGTTTCTCTTTTTATCTTTAAATGTGTCCCTCCCATTCTCCTTTCTGTCATTACTCTGAAAATTCTCTGAAACCTCACCAAACACGACTCCCAAAAGAAAGAAATGTCTGAGTTAAAGAAAAATAAAACATCAACATTCAGATTTCAGAATCCTGACATGTAAGCAGCTAGATTATATTCAGAAGCCTTAACAACAAAAACCCTTTACATGGTTTCTGCCAATGTATGTTATCAGATGAAGAAAGTTTAGGTTCTGTTTGTTTTTGTTAAGTTGAAGAGAGGAACTGAACATGTCTGCAAAGTTTATGTATTCTTTATCAGATGAAAACCCAGATCTGCAAAAGCAGATTGGGTGCATGAATGGACTATTCCAGCTCTTTGACCGCCACTATTTCCTTGGTAGCCGACGCATTGCCAGTCCAAACCACAAAAGGCTTCCTTCAGGTAATTTCTCTCAGTTTTCTATAGGATGTAAAGAGAGATTAGCTTAGGTTAACGTTTCTGAATTTCTATCATGAATCTTTAGGCCAAACAGCATGAATTTTAAGAGGTTTCCAGTTCTGTTAATTTTAGCTGCATGTTCAACTCCAATTTGAAAAATACCAACGTACTGAATGAAGTTAGAGTTTGTAACATTTTTCTCAGTTCTTCCTTTTCTGTCTGCATCTACAAGAATTTTCATTCATACTGCATTGGCTTGGAAAATTAATTTTGTTTTAAACTACGTTTATTTTGCAACATTTTAATGTCTAAAACCATCTACATTGCTACCTTCTATGGCTGACATTCAGTGTTTCTCTAGGTCCAAATGGCAAGCATGGAAAAGAGCCCAAGATTGACTCACAAAAGATAAAAGTGAGAAATAATTCTAATCACTTATATTTGTGGAGGAACCGACAAAAATAGTTAAAGCTAATGCAACTTTCATTACTCCTGCAGGAAAATAATCTGAAGAAGACTGTGAAGGAGAAACAAGGATTCTCCTTTGAATCACCCAGAACCTCGCTTTCATCTTCTTCTTGTTCATCTGGTTTCTCATCTGCTGAATGCAGCAAAGCATCTCAAGTAGACCGACCTTCATTGAGCCAAACCACTTTCCCTGAAACCCCAAGGAAGGAAATATCCAATTATCAATCAAATGTTTTTTTGCAATCAAACCAACATTCCCTTGACCTCCGAAATGTGGTTAAAGACTCCATCTACAGAGAAGCCCGTGGATTATCAATTAAAACTGCAACCAAATTGGCAGCAGGGCGCCACCAAACCTTGAAGTACATAGATTCGCCAAGGCCTTTGCAATCACCAAAACCTGCAAAGACCAGGAACACCAGTCTCAATGAATCAAGTCATGTTCTTTCTAAGCTTCATGAAGCGTCTAGTTCGTCCAGTGGATGCAGGAATGGTTCTCTCACTTTCCCACAAAGGGATGCTCCTCGGTTCTCTTATGATGGGAGGGGGTCACAAGATGCACTTAAAATTAAGTTCAGAGATTTCCCAAGGCTATCATTGGATAGTAGGGAAAGCTCCATAAAAGGTTCCATCAACAGTATGAAATCAAATTTTCTTCTAGAAGAGCTGCACAGAAGTAGCATGGACTCCAAAGATGTAAGAAACCAACAGCAAGAACCTGGAAGCTACAAAGGACCATCTAGTATTGTAGCCAAGTTGATGGGGTTGGAAGCATTGCCAGACCCCACTTTAACCAATGGGAATCAAAGCCGACAGATCAAAACCTGTCAAGATTTGAAAGACGATCCCCTCTCAGTCTCATCGAGAATTGATGAGAATAAGAGAAATTGGATTTCGGGTTCTCCAAGAAATTCAAAAAAGGAACCCAGCTCACCCCGTTTGACAAATGCGGACCCAAAGAAACCTGTTGTAACTAGATGCCCATATGAACCAGCTCCATGGAAGCAGCTGGATGGAAGCAAGGGTCAAAAATCAACTTTGAAGTGTCGAGAGACTCCAATGAAATCCCCAATCTCCTCTCAAACTGTTTATGGTGAAATTGAGAAAAGGTTGACAGAACTTGAGTTCAAGAAGTCGGGAAAGGATCTTAGAGCCCTTAAACAAATACTTGAAGCAATGCATAAGTCTAAACAGATTTTAGAGACCAGAAAAGAAGACCAAACTTCAAACTCTTTGTCTCACACAAACAGCATCCTTGGTCAGAGCTCAGAAGCACCAAATTCGGGAAAGCTACAGAGTAGCAGTGCAGTTTCAGCCACAGTTAAGGGAACTGGTTCTCCAACTCGCCTTAAATCCCCAGTCAAGATTATAAAACCAGCTAAACTTACGGAAAATGCCAGCAATTCTAGTTCATCAGTAGTTGCAACAGGCAGTTTAAGTAGGCTTCGCACTAGCGGCCCTGCAGATACCAGAAATGAAAAGGTTGACAAGCGATCATCTAAAGGTTTAACTCCAAGACTCAATTCTCCTAGGGATCCTTTCAGTCAACTCCATTCAAGGGATAAGAATACTCTCAGAACTCTAGGATTCAACCAAACTTCGAAAGAGCCATCACCTATTGCTCCAGAAAACCTTAAGCTGGCAATGAGCTCAGAGACCACATGCCTTAAACCACAGAAGAAGAAGCTTGAATTGGAAAAGCAATCTCGTCTCACCAGTCCAGCATCAGATGAGAGCAGGAGCAGAAAGCAATCAAGCAGACTACAAACAGAGTCAGGCTTGCCAAATTGGAAGTCCAGGCATAAATCTCACAATTTGCAGCGAAGTGATGACCAGTTGAGTGATATCAGTAGTGACATGAGAGATTTGAGTCACCAAGGAGATGCTAGCTCAATGCAATCTGAAAGTAATATGTCCGCTGCCTCCTATGGTGCCATTGAAGTCACAAGTGCTGACAGATCTTGCAAGATAGAGGGTACAGTCTCCCAAAAACAGGAAAAGAAGTATAATGTAAGTCTTATTCCCTCTTTGCATTCATGTAATATTTTGATCATCTCCTAAACAGCTTACATTTCTATCATTCAGAATCCAGCAGCAAGGTTTAGTGAAGGTGATTCAATAGCAGAACCTCCAAGAACTGCCCTGGAACAACCTAGTCCTATCTCTGTTCTAGATGCCACATTTTGTGGAGACGAATCACCATCTCCTGTGAAGAAAAAATCAAATGCCTTTGAAGGTGAAGCTCTTATATCCATTTATGCATAAAGTGGCTAAACTGAAACTTCAATTATAATGAGTTCATCATAAAAGCAAATTATGGCTATAATAATCAGACATCCACCAAGTCAATTAATAAATTAGTTTGTACTAGTACCAACAAAGAAAAATTGTTTGTAGTTACTAGAATCACAAAATCAATGTAGAAAGCAGAACATATACAACTTATGAATTGAAGAAGCTACTATTTGCTACAGGAGGCTTGGCCAGTTCATAGATTGAATCCTTTTCACATTTTCTTTTTATGACAGATGATGAGGGTCTTATCCCTGACGAAGCAGCTTGGAGTCCTATAGGTCTGAATCACTTATCCAGCTGCAGAGAAACCAGTAACACGTTCAAGACAGATTACGTGAAAGCCGAAAACATTCACCAATTGGTCCGGAAACTCAGGAACTTAGATTCTATCCATGAGCGGTCCATTATCAATGAAATTGAACCCGTTTTCAATAGTCCAAATCCAGACCATAAATACATTGCAGAAATATTGTTGGCATCAGGTCTCCTCAGCGAACTTGAATCCAACTTCATGGCTTACCAGGTTCACCCATCAGGTCATCTAATCAATCCTAACTTGTTCCCTGCACTAGAACAAACCAAGGCAAGCATTGGGCTTCTAAATGGAAGACACAATGGCAGAAAGATCAACCAGATAGAGCCCGTTAAGAAGAACCACAGGCAGCTTATATTTGATGCAGTTAATGAAATTCTAGTCAGAAAATTAGAAAAGGAAAACTCTTATAAGCAGTGGTTCTCACCAAGTGCGCTAGGGGATAGAAGACCAAAAAGACAGCAGCTGGTAAGAGATTTATATTCAGAAATAGATAAACTACAAACTGCATCAAAAATAAGCTTAGATGATGAGGATGACAGTCTGCAGAGCATCTTATGGGGAGATTTGACGCTTGGATCAATGGATTGGACAGAATGCAGGAGTGATATTCCATGGGTAGTATTAGATGTGGAGAGGTTGATCTTCAAAGATTTGATATGTGAAGTTATCAGTGGTGAAGCAGCAAATTCACAAGGGCAGCCTGGTGGGCATTGCAGACGACTGCTTCTGAAGTAGGATTTCTAATAATGTTTTAATATTTTTGAGATGAAGGGACAACAGGAAAGAGGGTGGTACTGTACTTCAAAATTTCTTCTTTTTTCTTAAATTCTTTAGGGCTATAGGCGCAAATAAAACTTGAATGAAACTTGATGACAACTTGTAAATTAAAAAGTCTGTGAAATTCATATAAAGTGCAATCTTATGAATATGACGTGTATTATCTCCATTTTGACGTCTTCATTTTGGAAGTGAATTATAGTATCTGTATCAAGCATATCAATATGAAAATATCACATAACTTATTCAACTACTAACAAAGAAATAATCAAAGAATTTAATAAGCTTCAAATGGTGGTGAGAGTTGGTCCAGGGGTAATGGCAAATATTGTTTGTACAATGTCTCATAAGAGCTATTGCTCTGCTTATCATTTGCATTAAACAATGAGTTCATCCATCACCATTTCAAGTGGTTATATAAGTCTTAACTGTTAAACAAGACCTCCTCAACCTAAAAAATAAGAGCACCTAGAGTGAAGAAAAGCATTTGTTGGTATGTATAACCTCTAGCAATGATCTATTGCAAGATGCTTCAAAGAATTAAGTTAAATGAGCAGTTGTATTTTAACGAGCAAATTCGAACATATATGGTCACCTAAAGCTGGTTGCTCCAAATTTGATTCAATGTTCTTAAGTGAACCAACACAAATTCTGACTCTGCTTTCAACCGCCATGCTAATACATCTTCAACCAGTAATAAAGGAAAAACCATTGGCGGAGATTTGTAAATACTAAGCAAATGGAGGATGGAGAAGGGGAAGGGCAACGTTTGACATCAAAGGATGAAAGCAGAAATGATAGCAGTAGCTAATCTTTAAATACTATTGGTTGCTATCAATTTCTGCAATAGACTAGAAGTTATAGTAGGTCGGATTAGGGTTTGATTGCAGTGATGTGATGCAATTCTTTAAATGCCTTGAGTTACTTTTGATTTCAATTTGAAAATCCAGTGACAGTTGATTATCACTACATTATAATCCTGTTTTGCGTATTATATGATGCTGATTCCTAGCCAAGTGTGATTTTTTGCTCGACTAGGCCCATATCCTAGTTCTTATAGCACATATATGCATAAGTTGAACATGCATTATTGACACACAACAAAGCTGGATACAATATTCAACGTCATAACATGTGTAACCCGAAAATTTCAGATGATTAAAGGAATTCAAGACATCCCATTCAGGATTGCAGAATAGTGGACCCATTAGAAGATAAATGCTGGAAAATTCAAAACCCGCAGTCTAAAATCATGTGATTACATTAATCTTAATCCATATACAAGCCATTCTGTTTTGAGATGTAAGACACCTTTTATAAAGGTACTATGGAACTGAGTCTACCTACATCCCCGTGAGCCTATACAAGCATAGGACCATTGACATACACAGGACTTGATTACTATTCTGTGATAGATTAGATAGGTGCAGGGTTTAGTTGCTAGCACCCTATATCAAGCCCTGCTTTCTAGTCTAAAAATAACATCTAAAATGCATGAGAAAGCATTATAGCTGTTAATTTAGTTTATATATAATAGATGAATATGTCAACGAGTCTCTGCAACATATACTATCATTACCGACCTTTAACAGGGTAGTAATTATCACTTACCCCAAGCCTTCACCATTCTGCTTCAGTCTGTCAACCATTTACTATTTTGTGTATGTTATCTAGAACATCCTAACTAGTCAGCAAAGGCTACCATCAAGATGGCAATAAACACAAACCAAAAAGGCCATTAACATGGAATACAAATTCATCCTATGGCATAGATCCCATCATCCCAATTAAATCTGAGTTGTCAACCCACAAATATTCAGTCCCCATATTATTCATAATGGTGTAAAACATGATGCAAGTTAAAGAAAGTTTACAACAAATGATACTTGTTCTCCAACTTTGGCCTCAAGTTAAAAACGCAGAAAGCATGTAACGTGAAATTAACCTGCCTCCATTAATAACAAATATTAATACAATATTGTACAAAGCTTCAAAAATTGAGAGCATAGTGTACATTTGGAGTTCAGATTGAGCCAGAAACTGATAAATCTCAGATCAGTTTAAGACCACGAAAGAAGAAACAAAAATTTCAATTAAAAAGGAATCATCTACTGACAAATTTTTATTATGGCAATTATCACGTGCAAACCTCAAGAAAGTTGTCAAAGCAGGAGACATCTCTCCAGGTTTGCACTGTCCATTTCTGGGTCCATCCTAGAGCCGATTATAACAAACCTAGTTTACAACTAAGCCAGTTCTTGAGAGCTTTCTATAGATTCTTTCAGAATTTTTTCTTCTCTTCTTATGTAATCATCCTTCTTATTATTATTTCCAAACCAAGAGGCAATCTTCTCAAGATCCTTGTTCTGTGAATTCAAATCTGGTGCCAGCCCTAAAGACTTTTTCCAATTCCAATCTTAAAATGCACCTTAGGCCTCTCGTTATAAAAAGACTTTTTTCTGTCCATTGTCAGAATCACATAAACCACTCTTCATCGCTTCAATAGGAGGAGCAAATGTCACGAGCACGAAAACATGGTTTCCCACAACACAATTTTCTGGAACAGGATTTCTCAAAACCAATTCACTCGAAAACTTAGATGGAAGAACAGGTGACACTTCCACTTCCTTTTCCTTAAAGTTGCAGCGAGATAAGGATTGCTCTTATCATAATGTCTAGATCTGGAGATCTATCACTAACATTAATTTGATGAGTCGTCACAAATCTTTTTTTATTTAGGTGCGATTGGTTACTTGACTGAATCTATCACTTTTTAAAGAGAAATCCTAATTTTGCTTTAGGTATATTTAAAAGGTAGATTCAATATCTGCGAAATCAGAATTAGGTTCGAAAGTACGATTACGTGTGAAGAAGGTTATAACACCCTTACAACGTCCATTGAAAGATGGTACCAGCTCAATTTCGTGTTATCCATTAAGCCTTAAAAATTTTACTAAATGATTAATTATTGTAAATGATTCTTAATTGACTCTAATACTTTTGGTAGAAAATTAAGAAAATTCCTTTACCTCAACAATGTATAAGAAAACTACTGTTTTTCTTGTAGAAGCTCCATTGTCAGATTATTTAGCATTAAAAATTTTTCAAAAAAAGCAAAATGACAAAATGAGAAAGAAATAATGATTCGACTTTCGATATAGATCTTTTTTTTTGTTTTAGAAGGAAAAAATCATGCTTTTATACAAGAAAAATTGATACTTTCAACTTTTCTTTAAAACATTATAATGTTTTTTTTTTATTATTTTCAAGAAAATTTGATACTTTCAACTATTCCTCAAAAATATTTTTTTTTGAAAATTTTATTTTAAAAAAAATTGATACTTTCAACTTTTCCTCAAAAATATTTTTGTTTTGAAAAATTTATTTTAAAGAGATCTTTGAAAATTAAAGAATGTTTAATTAAATGAATAAATGATTCAATTTAATCCATAGATAAATTGGAAAAAAATCATATTAATAGATAAATAACAAAAAAGGAAAAAAAAAAAAAATCTTGCAGTGACTCAGCTCAGCGTGACAAAAGCGCAGCTCGAGAGACAGAAGCAGCTGGGCGGCTTGATACTTGGCTTGGCTTAGCTGCTCAACAACGGCTAAGCAAAATGGGTAAACGGGTTAAAGCGCTGCGAGTCGGGTTGGATTTCGGGCGACACGCCGATCTTGTCAACTTTCAGCTCCCCCAAAACGACATCATTTTCAAGTAGTATAAAAGGTAAAAATATCCCCTTTCACCAGATGCTTCATCATTTTCTCTCTCTTCCCTTTAGTTTTCTTTACGTCTTTCTCTAGACACGAAGAACACAGGTGAAATTCTCTCTGATTTTTGGGTTTTATTGCCAGAAACTGGGTTTTTCGTCCAAAAAGTTATCGAAAAACTTGAATTTCACCGGAAATTTGGAATTTTCCAAAAATTTTTCAAAAAAAAAAAAAGCAAAAAATTTAAAAAAATTCCTAAAAATCTTAAAACCACTTCTGCACCTTCTAAACATCTTTTTTACTTCTTTTTTCTCTCTATTTGCTTTTTATGTACAATTTGCTTCTGATCAATAGGTTTTTATATGATCAATCTCAGAATCCTTGACTAATCTGAATTCCCTTTCTGATTAGGTTTCTAGATTATCAGATTAATCACTGAATTTATCCTATACTGGTTAAATCCACCTATGACTCTCTACTAGCCTTATTCAAGACAGAATTTATTCTTATTTTTTATTATTTTTAATTGTTCTGATCATTATCATCATCTCTTAATACCAACCGAGAATTAATCAAGAAAAAGATAAAATCTGAAAGAAAAATAAATAAACAACATAATAAATAAATAAATAATTAATTAATTAAACCAAACCTTTGGGCTTAACTGACCCCATTGGATCAGCCCTAATTGATCCGGACTTAGATCAAATTAGGTGTCTACAGCTGTCCCTTTTTATGTATTTTTTGTGCAACATGAATTGTGTAAAGACGTAGATACCCTGCTTATGATCATGCCAACCCGTTAGTTCTTTTTTTTTTTAAATCAGACACCCAAATTTGCTAAATGACTCGAAATTCTTCTAAGCAAAGATTCACAATTTTTGGGGAATAAACAAAACTCCTCTAAATAGAGGCTTAACAACTTTGAAAAAATAAACAAAGCTCCTCTAATCAGAGGCTCAACAACTTTGAAAAAATAAATGAAGCTCTTCTAATAAGAGGCTCAACGACTTTGAAAAAATAAACGAAGCTCCTTTAATCAGAGGTTCAAAAACTTTGAAAAAATAAACAAGGCTCCTCTAATTAGAGGCTCAATAACTTTAAAAAATAAACAAGGCTCCTCTAATTAAAGGCTTAACAACTTTGAAAAAAATTATACCAAGCTCTTCTAAACAAAGGCTCAATGACTTTGAAAAATAAACAGAGCTCCTCTAAACAGAGGCTTAACAATTTTGAAAAATAAA